CCCCAAAACCCCAAAACCCCAAAACCCCATATATAAAATATTTTATAATTTAGTCATTAAATTAATTGATTTAAATATTGATGAGAATCTTAATTAGAAAGGATCTATGATTTCAGTCAAAGCCATTTCATTTTTCTTCCTACTCTCTAAAAGAAATATAATGAAAATGAAACCACAGGAAGTGCCAGCAGCATTATAGAGTTTCTCTCAAATTCTGCTTGGTCAAAGTTGTCCTTTATCGCAAGGTACTCAGCATATCTTAGATCAGGTTTTGGTATAAATCTCTCTTACTTTCCAATTTCTAGCGTCATTAACTCTTTATGACGATCTTCAACTATTTTTCTGAATTTCTCTTAATCTTTATATCTAGGCTCAAGTTCTTTTGATAGCTATCTCAAGTAATTCACCTTTTAAGCTCTTGAGGAGTATACAGTAACTTTTTTCTCATCAAAATCTTTGTTTAGTGATTCAATAATGGCATCCATTAGCTAGTAGGATTATTTCTTTGCTTCATAAAACTGATTTCTAAACTCCTCATCATACTTTTCTTTGATGACATGCTTCTAAACTTAATATGAGTCATAGAACTCGATCATTTTCTTAATCATTTCTTAAAGTTTGAAACCCTATAGCTGCATTTGTAGTTTATTTGAGTTTTTCTTGATTGCATTTTTGAAGAACTCATCATACTTTTTGATCATTTGATTATACTGCTGTCTACTCCTAGCTGGAGCATTAAATGTCATTGAGTATAGTAGAATCAATTCTCCTTCATTCATTTATTAATATCCTCCAGCTGGAATTTTATATTTATCTGAGACTTGTGAGCTTACATCTTTAATAATTTCATCCATATCAAATATAGGGTTGACAAGCTAATCGAATTCTACTTTAATTTTCTTAATCATGGCTCTAAAATGTTCATTCTAGAACAAAAAATCCTCATCAATATCAAACAAATCATTGATGTTAACTCTATAGTTATTCATAGTTACTAGCTTTGTTATGAGCTATTCTTATAAGAACAAACTCATAAAAAATATGCAGACAATTCGAGGTAAGTTAAATAGATAGATGTGTCTTCGCAATAAAAACTTGTAATTAAAGAAGTAGTAAGCTAGGTTGAATAATACATTGAAACCAATAATTTAGAAAAACTGCTGGTTTTAATGAAGTTAGTAAAACTGTAGAATTTCTCTTAAGATATACAGCTACGCATATAAAGGTAACTCTTGATTGTAATTAGTACCTACGATTTTTATAAAGTCAGTGAATGTTGGATCCTTAAAAACCTTAAATTCCTGGGATATATCATCAGATTCAATTGCTTCCTCAATGTTATGATCTAAGTATTTCTACTTAAATTCTTCTATTTATTCCTACTCGCTCAAAGTAATTAATTGCTCTTTTAAACTGCTTCTAAAAATCTCACTATCCTTACCAGTTTCAGCTAATTTATCTATTTAAATTTCTCTATTCTAAATGAATTCAGTAAACTCATCATCAGTTAAGTGATTCAAGAAGTCGTTTATGTCATTAAATAGCATCTTTTTATGGTAAATAGATTTCCATAATTCATTTTATTGCAAAGTCATCAGTCCATCATTTCCCTCATTTTATATCTTCTTCATAAAATCATTATTTGGGTCATTTAACATTTTATATGCTATTAATTCTCTTTGTGTAAGCTTTTGAAGTTTCCTATATTCCTCTCTTAGCTTTTTCTTTTCCTTTCTGCCCAGTTTCTTTACTTTCTCTTTTGCTTCTTTGGAGTCTTTCTTGAATTTAAATTTCTTTTTGAAAAGCCTCCTCTTATTTTTCTTTTCCTCTTATTGCTTCTCAACGTATTCCTACTTTTTAGCTTCAAAATTTTTGTTTGCTTTCTCTCTAAGCTTATCTATGATTGATGGAGTGGAATCGTTATCCTCCTCAGATGAAGGAATGCCTTAATTTTCTTTTTTGATATGCTCTTTTTAAGACTTATCTTTTGATTCAGCTTCACTTGATTATTATTAATTGGATGACATTAACTCTATAATTATTTATTAATCGTTGATTATTTATATATTCTTTTTATCTTAATCATTTGGGGTTTTGGGGTTTTGGGG